AAAATTATAGTTTCACCAGGACGTTGCTGTGACAACTATTTTATAGCGTTATGTAAAATTATAGTTTCACCAGGACGTTGCTGTGACAACTATTTTATAGCGTTATGTAAAATTATAGTTTCACCAGGACGTTGCTGTGACAACTATTTTATAGCGTTATGTAAAATTATAGTTTCACCAGGACGTTGCTGTGACAACTATTTTATAGCGTTATGTAAAATTATTGTTAATGTATACAGTTTCAGAAAAACTGTCATAATAATGCCCGGAAAATTTCTCAGGTTTAAAAATAATGAAAAACATTTTTTATTTTTTTAACGATCTAATAATTACATAAAAATTATAAACTTTTTAATACATTTCATATGAAACCTTCCCAAACTCTTCTTATTTTAGCTGTTATTGAGAGTTGTTCCCCTAAACCATCGATTGTCTATTAATTTGGAATAAAACGGTGACGACTAGTCACGCACCAGTTGGCTATCTGATCAGTAAAAATAATAATCATTATTATTGAACAGACGTATCCAATTATTGTTTAGTACTAGAGACATTGTTTTTAACTTCTTCTGATGTCCTCCAGACCTGGTAAATTTTCCAGCTTTAAGTCTAACAGGATTTGTCCCAGTGCCTTCCCCTGCAAGTAGGAACGGAAGTTAATCACCAAGTGCTGTGACACTTCCAAAATACAATGTGGTTAAAAATTTTCTGTTAGTTAAGTGATTGCATTCTGAGCTTATGACACATTAGAACCTATATCATGATAATAGGAGAAAACTGTTTATGAAATTATGGTTAAATGATCAGCTGATGTAAAAAAAAAATAGCCCACTTGTTAATTGGAATGCTTAACAAAAAAATAATAGGTGTTTTGATATGAAAACAACTTTATATTTAGATGATGTCACCAAGAGGCTAACCCTGCACTTGTTCATGAAATGGAAATTTAACTTAACCTGTTGAATGTTATTAATATACATGTAACTACACTTTCTATTTGTACCAAAATCATGGTCACAATTTTGTAAGGTAGTGTACAGAGCATAAGTTTAGAAGTTTTGTGTTTATTTAACTAAATTAGCTTTTGTTAACCTGTGGGTCGCTCCTTAGCGATGCTACTCCTCCTCCACCTAGAGATCTCTTCAGAACAAAGTTCATGCCAACGATTCCTGGAAGCAGATATCTGAAATTCAGCAAAAATGTACGATTATCGTTCACTGTATTATTTACTAGAGAGAGCAGGTAATAGTAACAACTTTCTTATTACAGTATAGCATCATCTTTGACCACAATAGGCAGGTTGTCTCAAGTGTTCAGGAAGGCTATGGTTCTTAATATATGTCACGATTTATTTTTGGTGGGTATTATTTTCTAGCCAGAATAACACAGTGGTCATATATTTATTTACAATTTCTTGATTGGTTCTTATCACAACAGAAGCTACACAGCTGCTAGCCCAAGAACCATACACGGTAGTAAGTACGAAGCTAGCACAAGAATCATAGTCAGTAATAAATATGAAACTTGGTGAATTGAATAACAACCTATTGTCAAGATTCTGACGTACAACTTGTTCATTTGCAATTAAAATACATTTAATTATGAATGTTTTACTGAGTTATAAGAAAGATGTGCCAAAGAGTTAACTATAGGTAAATCAGAGGTTGTGTTTTATTTCATCACTCATTAGAACCAACTTCAAGAACCACACTATGTTAAACTGTTGTAATGAAACGTTTACCTTTGCACTTTACTTTCTTTGGGTGGAGAATCTTGATCAAACAAGTGCTTGAAATACTCCTCTACAGTCTTTGCTGTTAAAGCGTTACACAAGTATGGGTAATACGCAGGATGACGAGCAACCACACCTGCAGGGAAAAAACACATTTAGACACCAAAAGATTGTTTCAGCTCTTGGCAGTCACACAAAACTATATAAACTTGAACAAACGTTAAAATTCGTCCCAGTCCTTCTTCAACTGTAGTTGTTGGTAGTCAGACTAGTAGAAACATTAAACTTTGTCTCAGTCCTTCTTGAACTGTAGTTGTTGGTAGTCAGACTAGAACTATATAAACTTGAACAAACGTTAACCTTCGTCTCAGTCCTTCTTGAACTGTAGTTGTTGGTAGTCAGACTAGAACTATATAAACTTGAACAAAGGTTAAGTTGTCTTCAGTCCTTCTTCAACTGTAGTTGTTGGTAATCAGACTAGAACTAGAATTTTTAACCACCGGGATCCAGTAGAACCTGTATATAACCCATGGACTGTTTACCTCCCGGAATCAGTATTAACCACCTGGATCAAGTATAACCTGCAGACTCTTAGCCTTGTGGACCATCGGAATCCAATATAAACTAAAGAACATTTTTATTCATGTACCAGATGAGCCATTTTAAAGGTATGATACTTATACCTGAAAAAAAATGCATCTGAATTTCAAATTGTAGCAAAAGCAAACATAATGGTCAACAAATTTAAACCAAGAAAAACTGTGGTTTGTTTACAAACGCACTGAAATCACTAGACACAGAAGTGTGTAAGCTAATATTACCAATGTTACACGTGTCTCCCTTGTCACCACTGCGGGTATAGGCCAGCTCTTCTAGCCTGTATGTAAATGGTCCTTCAGGCTGGGAGGAGTCTTCTACAGATTCAGCTTGTGGTTCATCTGAAAATTCTTCTTCTTTCTTATCTGATTGCTGGAATGTTTCTGTTTGGTCACCTGCGTGAATATTTATCTGCAATAAAGCAGAGAATACATTCCACACTGACAACATATCTCTAATACATTCCACACCGACAACACATCTGTAATACATTCCACGCCGACAACATACCTATAATACATTACACGCCGACAACATATCTATAATACATTACACGCCGACAACATATCTATAATACATTACACGCC